GCTAATTTTTGTATTTTTAGTAGAGATGGGGTTTCACCATGGTGGCCAGGCTGGTTTCAAACTCCTGATCTCGTGATCCACCCACCTCAGCCTCTCAAAGTGCTGGGATTACAGGTGTGAGCCACCGTGCCCAGCCTGGAAAAAGGTATTTTGAAGCATAGTGCTGACGAGCAAGACATGTCTGCAGAGGCCCTGCTCATCCCAGGCCTGCCAGTTTGTGCCCCGGATTAGAGTTCTACTAAAACAATCTAAATTCTCACAGTACATGTTAATAACCTGAGAACCAAAGATAAAAATCTGCCTGTCTCAAGACGTGTGAAATTTCATAGAAGACCAACAGAATCAGAGATACAATAACGTTCACAATAAATTCTTTAGACAATTTAATCCAAAGAACCAAATAAAAACATTGTCATTGCAATTTTAAAAGGCTCGTAGGCACATAGTATGCATATCAGAATTTCTGCTGAACACTGAATGTTGGGTTTTGTTGGGTGGCAGCTATCATTAAAATAGAAAAGTACCAGGAGCTGACTTGATCTGGGCAGTAACACAAAATTAAACAAACGTATCTACGTTTAAAAAAAGATTCAAATTCAAACTTGGAAGGATACATTATCTGAAAATAAAAAATGTTTCTAGCTGGCAGGGAGGTAGAAGAGAGTCCTGAAAATAATTGTCTAAGACCTGGATTCCAGACCAGCTCTTCCTAAGGCAGCCCTATCTTAGTCATGGTTCTGAAAAATAAGGGTTGGGACCAAAAGGCCTTCCATGTCCCTTCTAGATCCAAGCATCTCTCACGCTAAAACAGAAATTGCAAGCTGGGTGCAGTGGCTCACGCCTGTAATCCTAGTATTTTAGGAGGCCAAACAGGCAAATCACCTGAGCTCAGGAGTTTGAGACCAAGACAACATGATACATACAAAAAATTAGCCAGGTATGGTGGTGCATACCTGTAATACCAGCTACTTGGGAGGATGAGGCACAAGAATTGTTTGAAACCAGGAGGCAGAGGTTGTAGTGAGCTGACATTGCACCTCTGCACCCCACCCTGGGAGACAGAGTGAGACTCTGTTTCAAAACAAACAAACAAACAAATTAAAATTTAAAAAAAAGTATACAAAATTAGCTGGGCATGGTGGCGCATGCCTATAATCCCAGTTACTTGGGAGGCAGAGGCAAGAGAATCAATTGAACCCGCGAGGTGGAGATTGCAGTGAGCCGAGATTGCACCATTGCACTCCAGCCTGGGCAACAAGAGTAAAACTCTATCTCAAAAATAAATAAATTAATTAATTAATTTAATTAAAAAGTAAAGCAGAAATTGAAAACCGGTGGCCCACTGGCCAGATAAAATCCCTCAATGTTTTGTTTGGCCTGCATGAAGATTTTTTTTTTTTCTAACTGAATATAAATGCCTCTAAATTGAGGTCATCCAGTTTGCCACAATCACTGCTGTTCCTTATTGCCTTGCCCCAGTCTGCTTCCCTCTTTGCCATCGCCTGCTTGGCCCCTGAAGGACTCAGGCTTGGGACTGCCGTGCTGTGGGGCTAAGGGATCCCCAACACTGCACTTGTTCCCATTACCACTTAAACCCCACTGAAAGATGATCTCAATTTACTTTGGTTTCTACCTGCGTTGCTGAATTTCACGGCTTTACAATTTGGAGCGGGGTGGGCACCCTGTAGAGTACTATCATTCCTATTATACAGGACACTAATAGCTCAAAAAACAAAAGAGACTTGTTCAAAGTCACAGAGTTAGTAAGTCAAGAGAGTTAACATAATTTCTATTTGCCAAGGAAATTTTTAATTTGAAAAATCTGGAAAGATACAAACTGAAAGCAAATTTCATATAAATATATACATGATTATAATTAATATTTACGGTGTACATCATGTTTAATTGCAGAAATGTGATCTTTTATATATTCACCATTTTGTATATATTTGCTTTTTTTTTTTTTTTTTTAAGAGATGTGGGTCTCACTATGTTTCCGAGGTTGGAAAGAAGTGGTTATTCACAGGCGTGATGGTAACACAGCACAGCCTTGAACTGCTGGGCGCACAAGTGGTCCTCCTGCCTCAGCCTCCCGAGTATCTGGGACTATAGGTGTGCAACACTATGCCCAGCTTTTATGTTGTATATATTTGGATATAGTCACTTAGGCTATTATTGTAGGGTAGTGGCTTTTTGTTATTGTGGTAAAATAAAGGTTAAAGTTTACCATTTTAACCATTTTCAAGTGTACAGTTCAGTGGCATTAAGTCTATTTACATTATTGTTCAACTCTCACCAACATTCATCTCCAGAACTTTTTCACCTTGTAAAACTGAGACTCTGAAACATTGAACCACGACTCCTTCCAACCCCTGCCCCAGTCTACTTCCTGTCTCTATGAATTTGCCTGCTCTAGGAACCTCATACTAATATAATTCTACAGTAATTCTCCTTTTGTAACTGGCTTATTTCCCTTAGCTTAACGGATGAACCCTGAAGACATTATGCTAAAGGAAATAGACCAGTCATAGCTTTAAATTCTGACTGTGATTTTAACGCAGCAAAGGTGTGTGTTAAAAATGGCTATGAACTTTGTAGATGCCTAGCAAGAGAGCACAGAATGTGAATGACCCAGCCCGGAAGACTTCCTTCTGCATGAAATACCCAAACATACAAGTAACCTTTATGAGCTAAACTAAAAAAGGATTTCTGAGCACAGGCTCCTGGCACATAAAGCTCAGAATAGCTGAGCTTCACTTACCAAGTATAACAGCACAAAATGTCACGCCGGGAATATTGAATGTGGGAGTTCATTGCTTAAGGAAAAAAAATCCCTCACCTAATTTAAGGAAACCCTAAATGAATCAGTTTTTTGTTGTTGTTGTTAAAAACTCTACATTCCATCTGGTGCTAACTATATTTGCTTAGAGAAAGCAGTACCACAAAAGAAAGGTTATTTAGAGCATGCAATGGTTTCTGGATGGTTCTTCCATCTACTAGAGAACTTGACAAAGACCTAAGAAATTGACTCTAAATATGGACATAAATTTGTGTAAATGGAAGGTTAGAAACATCACATTCTGGGCCGGGTGTGGTGGCTCACAGCTGTAATCTCAGCACTTTGGGAAGCCAAGGTGGGTGGATCACTTGAAGCCAGGAGTTGGAGACTAGCCTGGCCAACATGGTGAAACTCTCTACAAAAAATACAAAATACAAAACACAAAAAGTAGCCAGGCGTGGTGATGCATGCCTGTAGTCCCAGCTACTTGGGAGGCTTCGATCACTTGGGCCCAGGAGGCAGAGGTTGCAATGAGCCCAGATCAAGCCATTACGCAAGACCCTGTCAAAAAACAAAACAAACAAACAAACAAAACGGACGAAGTGGCTCATGCCTGTAATCCCAGCACTCATGCCTCTAATCCCGCTGAGGCGGGTGGATCACAAGGTCTGGAGTTCGACACTTCTGACCAGGAGCCCAGCCAATATGGTGAAACCCCTGTCTCTACTAAACATACAAAAATTAGCTGGGTGTGGTGGTGTGCACCTGTAGTCCCAGTTACGTGGGAGGTTGAAGCAGGAGAATCACTAGAACCTGGGAGGCAGAGGCTGCAGTGAGCCGAGATTGTGCCACTGCACTCCAGCCTGGGCAACAGAGACTCCATCTCAAAAAAATAAAAATAAAAAAAGAAATATCACCTTCTGGGTCAAGAAAATAATCAGATTCGTTTTACCTTATACCAGAAGCCCTTGCTTCTGTACCGTCCGCCTCCTTGTAAGATGGTCACCCTGGGAAATTGGCAGGATAGCCTGTCCTACCTTGTGAGGGTATTAAAATGACTGCAGACTTGATTTCAGGAGAGTGACCAAAATATAGGTTAGTCTCCTGCTGTCCGTATCACAAGGGAGGAGTCTGATGGGAAAGAGAACACAGCCTGCTGGGCTTTACCAGGAAACACACTGTTCATCTCTCACGACCCTGCCTCCTGCCCGTGTCCACATGCCAGCTCTGCTCAAGTGATCCTCCTGCCTCAGCCTCCAGAGGAGCTGGGATTATAGGTGGGCAACACCGTGCCTGGTTTTTATTTTGTATATATTTGGAATATAGTCACTTATTCACAAACAGACTACCCAAATTAGGGCAACTTGACTATCTCAAAAGAAAACTGCTGAGACTATGCTAAGGGGAAGAAGGGTATCTGGGTTCCAACATCATGGGGGTCCCCCGGTTTTAAGGCACAGGACAGTCCTGGGACCAGCAGCTCCTGCATCTCCTGGGAATTTGTCACTGGGGTGCTGTGTGTGGCTTCAATGTGACCAAGACAACACCAATCCAATACTGTAGGGCCTGCTCTGATCCACCCACGTTTCATTGTCATCTGCTGCACGTAGGACGCTACACAGGCAGAATCAATGCCATTTTGCGTTTTTTTCTTTTTCCAGGAATGGGACAATGCATGATGGCTGCTGAGTGGGATCCATACTTGGGAGGAGGAAGACTTTATGTCAGTCTCCAGTGATGCTTCACCTGGACCCCCATCTTTCCTCAACACCTCTGCTTCCTGCCTCTGTCCCTTTCGGAACTAAAGGCCTGTCCCTCAGCCAAAGTCCAGAGTCCTTTCTTCTCAAGCACAAGTCTCCTGCCCTCCAGTTGCTTGGCCCAGTAAGGAAGTCAGAGAAGGAAACAGGCAACTGCAATCAAGTGACATGAATGCCAGCGGTGTGGGGTGGGTGCAGCCTGGCCGTGGGGTGGGCAGGTCACGAAGGCAGGGAGACATGCTGCTCAGAAGGTCAGAGATTTCATGAGGTCAAGCTTCGGTGGGGTGCCCAGCAAGCAGATATTTGCCTCTACTTGTTTACATGTGACCTCCCGGGCAGGGTCTGTGATGTAGGTGGGCCTGCACCCTCACTGCCTAGCACAGAATTATGTATTGATAGGGATGCACTAGATTACCATGGTTTAGGACGCCAGCCCTCAAGTCAGCCGACGCCTCTGTACTCACCAGATAACCTTCGGTTCCCTTCCAACAGCTTCAAATGTCTGCTTTATGAATACCCCTGTGACCAGCTGGTGCTAGAAGAAAAATGATGCATACACCCTGTAGCTTGTCCTGAAGCAGAGGGGACAAGAATTTAAGTTAACAGTGTGCAGCTTTAAAAGTTGAGAGGTAGGGTGCGGTGGCTCGCACCTGTAATCCCAGCACTTTGGGAGGCTGAGGCGGGTGGATCACCTGAGGTTGGGAGTTCAAGACCAGCCTGACCAACATGGAGAAACGTCGTCTCTTACTAAAAATACAAAACTAGCCAGGAGCGGTGGTGCATGCCTGTAATCCCAGCTACTGAGGTGGCTGAGGCAGGAGAATCACTTGAACCTGGGAGGCAGAGGTTGCAGTGAGCTGAGATCGTGCCACTACACTCCAGCCTGACAACGGAGTAAGACACTGTCTCAAAAAAAAAAAAAAAAAAGTTGAGAGGTGGGTGTCACAGAGGGGGACCAGCTGGCCAGCCAGACTGCCTCTCACAGTGGACAATACCTGAGTCCATTTGAGCCCACAGCTCAGAAACACAAGGCTCTCAGTCCACACAGAGTTGACCTTGGTGGGGGGTGGGAGGGAGGGGACACTCATTCATGTTCAACAGAGTCACAGGCCAATATGTAAACAACCAGAAGGCTAGTTTACCAATCTACCTTACCAGCAGCTATTCCTGTCTGCCATCAGGGTATGCGCTGATGTGTGCAATTCATGCAGTCATTCAACAAGGTTTTCACAAGCACCAAGTGTCCACTAGTTCATGAACTGTGAGCGCCTGACTGGGGAAAATAATGAAGCCAAATGAGGTGGAGATCCAGAAAGGTGAAATGGAATTGTGCAATGAGCTTGGCGTCACACAAGCTGGAGTTCAAACGCTGTCCATCATTTAATAGGGAGGCGACTTTGGGGAAAATTGCTTAACCTTTCTGAGTCTCTTTCCTCACCTGTAAAATGGGCATAACAACATCTCCTTATATGATTATTAAAGAATGAGATTACATATGTAAAGTGTCTCATTGTGTTTGTTTTTCTGTTTATCTGAAGAGGCTATGCCACATAATTTTTAAGGGAACAGGCTTTGGGGTCAGACAGATCTGTCTTTAAATCCTAGCTCTGCCACTTACTAGATACATGATTTGGGTAAGTTGCTTAATTCTTTTTCCACTATGTCTCAGTTTGCTCATTTGTAAAATGGAAATACAAATTCCTCACAGGGTCTGAGAAATAAGATAATGTATTCGAAGGACTTAAAAAACTCCTAGGATATGATAAGCATTTAACAAATGGTATGCTTAAGAGTAATTTTTAGGGCCGGGCGCGGTGGCTCAAGCTTGTAATCCCAGCACTTTGGGAGGCCGAGACGGGCGCATCACGAGGTCAGGAGCTCGAGACCATCCTGGCTAACATGGTGAAACCCCGTCTCTACTAAAAAATACAAAAAACTAGCCGGGCAAGGTGGCGGGCGCCTGTAGTCCCAGCTACTCGGGAGGCTGAGGCAGGAGAATGGTGTAAACCCGGGAGGCGGAGCTTGCAGTGAGCTGAGATCCGGCCACTGCACTCCAGCCTGGGGGACAGAGCGAGACTCCGACTCAAAAAAAAAAAAGAGTAATTTTTAGGTGCCAATATCCAGAATAAACAAGGAACTCAAACAACTCACCAACAAAAAATAAATAAATCTAATTTTTAAATAGACAAAGGATCTCAATAGGCATTTCTCCAAGAAAGACATACAAGTGGCCAACACATGTATGAAAAAATGCTCAATGTCACTAATCAACAGGGAAATGCAAATCAAAACCACAAATCAAATGCTGGCAAGGGTGCAGAGAAACGGGAATTCTGATGCACTGTTGGTGGGAAGGTAAATCAGTATAGCCATTATGGAAAATAGCATGGAGGTGTCTCAAAAAACTAAAAATAGATCTTCCATATGATCCAGCAATCCCACTACTGGGTATTTATCCAAAGGAAATCAAATCAATATTATCAAAGAGATATCTGCATCCCCATGTTTATTGCAGCACCAGTCACAATAGCAAAAGATACGGAATCAACTTAAGCATCCACCAACAAATGAATGGATAAGCTGGTTGCAGTGGCTCATGCCTGTAATCCCAGCACTTTGGGATGCCAAGGTGGTAGGATTGCTTGAGGCCAGGATTTCGAGACCAGCCTGGGCAACATAGTGAGACCACCCCCTATCTTATTATTTAAAAAAAAAAAAAAAGCACAAAGAAAATGTGTTATAGGCTGTTCGTGCTGTCTCACGCCTGTAATCCCAGGACTTTGGGAGGCCAAGGTGGGTGGATCACGCAGTCAGGAGTTCAAGAACAGCCTATCCAATATGGTGAAACCCCATCTGTACTAAAAAAAACACAAAAATTAGCCAGGCATGGTGGCACGCACCTGTTGTCCCAGCTACTTGGGAGGCTGAGGCAGGATGATCACTTGAACCCGGGAGCCGGAGGTTGTAGTGAGTTGAGATCAGGCCACTTGCACTCCAGCCTGGGCGACAGAGTGAGACTCTGTCTCAAAAAATAAGAAAAATAAAGAAAAAAGTGTTTCATATATACTGGAATACTATTCAGTCATAAAAAATGAAACCCTGTTATCTGAAGCAACATGGCTGAGACTGAAGGACAATATCATATTAAGTAACGTAAGTCAGGCACAGAAAGATAAATACCACATATTCTCATTCATATGTGGGAGTTAAAAAAGAATTTGAGTTCATGGAAGTAGAGAGTTGAATTGTGGTTTATTAGAAATGTGAATGGGAGAGGAGGAAAGGGAGAGATTGATACAAAATTACAGCTCAATAACTTGTAGTGCTCTGTAGTATTTCAGGGTGAATATACTTAACAACAACCTATTGAATATTTTCGAAAAGCTAGAAGACAGGCCGGGCGCGGTGGCTCAAGTCTGTAATCCCAGCACTTTGGGAGGCCGAGACGGGCGGATCACGAGGTCAGGAGATCGAGACCATCCTGGCTAACACGGTGAAACCCCGTCTCTACTAAAAAATACAAAAAACTAGCCGGGCGAGGCGGCGGTCGCCTGTAGTCCCAGCTACTCGGGAGGCTGAGGCAGGAGAATGGCGTGAACCCGGGAGGCGGAGCTTGCAGTGAGCTGAGATCCGGCCACTGCACTTCAGCTAAAAAAAAAAAAAAAAAAAAAAAGAAAAGCTAGAAGACAGAATTCTGAATGTTCCCAACACAAAGAAATGATTAAAATCTGAGGTGATAGATATGCTCATTACTCTGCTTTAATCATTACACATTGTATACATGTACTGAAATATCACTTTGTATCCTGCAAATGTGTAATTATGTATTAACTAAAAGGGAGAAATAGAACACAAAACTAATTTTTTAAAGTTGTCCATAGTTGCATACAAATGAGTAGTACACATATTAAAAGCAATTAAAATTACTAGAGACTTCAATGAAATTAAACATTGTACCATTAAACATACGAAAAAGCTAATTACTTCGTGTTTCATTATTAAAACTTTACTGAAAAGGAAGGCCTCTTACCTCAGACTAGTTTTATGCCTATACTTTCCAACAGAGTTTCTAAAATAACGTCATTTGTGTGCTGCCAAGCAAAAACTCAGATCTGTTTCAATATTGCTAAGTCATGCTCCACCGTGAAACAGCAGCAGCATGTCTGGGATCCCCCTTTCTAGTTTGTCTGATGAGAACCCTGGTACTCATAAGGCACTGTGCATTTGGCTTAACTACACGCCAGGGTACACACTGCAGGATTACAAAAGTCCCTGCCCTAAAGGACACAAATCACCTCTCAATTCTGGATCGTGCCTTTTTTTTCTTCCCACCAATACTGCCGATTTTTGTTTATAAAGCTTTTAAGTTATGGAAGCGCGCTCTTGGATTTTGATAAAAATCAACATAGCTGCCAATTCTAACCTCAGTGCAAATGCAACTGGTCTAAAACAAAGGGCAGCCTCTTATCTACCTCATCCTGTCCTCAGCAACACTGCTCTTTTCCAGATCGGGAAACCTGCACGGCCGCTCAGGACTTCCGGATGACTGTACCTTAGAGACCAGAGTGCAGGTTAGCGGGGCTCTCACTCTAAACAGTCTAAGTGAGGTCTTCAAACTTCAGGGTGAACTACGGATGTGTTTTTAAGTCTCAAGTTTTCACAAAAAATTCCAAGTTTCAGAAAGAATGCGAGAGTTTCAATAGAACTAAAATATGAGAGCCTCTCTCTAAATAATAATTTTCTTTTTTTTTTTTTTTTGAAGACAGTCTCACTCTGTTGTCCAGGCTGGAGTGCAGAGGTGTGATCTCGGCTCACTGCAACCTGTGCCTCCCAGGTTCAAGGATTCTCCTGCCTCAGCCTCCCGAGTAGCTGGCATTACAAGCGCGCCACCACGCCCAGCTGATTTTTTGTATTTTTAGTAGAGACGGGGTTCCACCATATTGGCCAGGCTGGTCTCAAATTCCTGACCTCAGGTGATCCGCCCACCTCAGCCCTCCCAAAGTGCTGGAATTACAGACGTGAGCCACCGCGACCGGCCTAAATAATAATTTTCAACAGAATACACTGGAATCTCATTATAAACGCCTGCTCTGGGCTACGATTTGCCTGTCAAGGAATTCACAAGTCATAAACTGGAGGGGTGGACCCGAGGTGATGCCCACTAGGAGCAAGGTGACAGAGAAGCACGAAGCACAGCGCTTTTCAAGCCTGGGAGCGCAGGGAGGCCTTCACCAGAAGGTGGGAACCCACCACGAAGCGCCTTCAGGAGGCCCCGGGATTCCAAACCAATTAAGGGCCTGCTCTTTCCGAAAACGGGAGGCGACGCGCTGAGCTAAGCGCGCAGGCCGGGGTGCGGGCCGGCACCGAGGCGGCGCGGTCTCGCGACCGCCCTGGGTAGTGACTGGCTCGATCCGCCAGCGGCCAATCCACCCCGAGTCCAAAACAGAAGACAGCCCTGGGATGAAAGACCCAAGCCTGGGCTTAGGGTGGAAAAACAACTATTGCTCGAGGCCCGGAGACGGGCGTCCCGGGAGGACGGGGAAGGGAGACGAGCGCCCACCGCGGAGAGAACGCGGTAGGGTTCCTCTCCCCGAAGGTGGCGGCCACAATAACACGGCCTCGAGAGCGGTTTCGAGGACGATGGCTCCTGCGTCCCGGGAGTCGCTGCGACGCCGCGGCCTGGCCCACACCCGGCGGGGGAGGAGACCAACCGCCATCTTCCCCGCAAAGCCCAAAGCGACAAGGCACGGAGCCGGGCACACCGGCCCCGCCACCAGGGACACTCCGGCTCTCGCGAGACCCGAACACTGCGACGCGAAGACCTCTGGGAAAGGCGGGGGGAAGGGAGAGGAAGGAAGCGGGGCCGGGGCTGGAGGCGGGCCGAGGCCGCGAGTGGAGCCTCAGGAAGCAGAAGGGGCGCGGAAGGACGCGATTGACGTCGCAAGCGAGCCAATGACGAGCGAACTGTGGCAGGCCTCCAGCCAATGGGCAGTGAGGCCTGACGCGGGGGGCGGACGCTGGGGCCGAGGGTAGCTTGAGCGCGGCGGCGGCGTTGTTCAGTCAGAGCGAGAACATTCCAGAGGTGAGTCCGGTGGTGGGGCGGCGGCCCCGCGCCCCCTGCCCGGTGCTCCCCGCCCCCTCGACCCCGCGGGCCGCTGGCTGGCGGGGAAGGCGCTCCCCCCGACCCGCCCGCGGCTCACGGCGCCGTCTCTCCGCGCCAGGTCGCCAGGCTCCGGCGCTGACGGGTGTGGACCGCGGACGTCGCTGGGACAGCCCCTCCCCGCTGCTCGGCGGCGGCACCTGGCCCGGCCGCTCCTCGCTGCGCTTCGCCTCCGCCTCCTTGGACTCGGACTCGGGTTTAAATCGCGCCTCTCTTCATCCCAGTCCCGGGCGAGCAGCGTTGGGTTTATGTCTTTATTTGACGAAAACGGTGAGTCGCGGGCGCGGCGGACCAGGAGATGGCGGCCGCACAAGATGGCGGCGGCCGCCGCGTGACCCCGCCGCGGCGTGTGGCGCAGTTTGGGCGGACGGCGGGCGGGCGCGGGCTCGGGCACCGGCCGCCCCCTCCCCGCGCGCTCCCCGGCCTGGCGTCGCCCCCTCCCCGGCCTGGCGGGAGCGCGTCGCGCGTGCCCGCCGCTCGGGCTGAGTCAGGCTTCAGCTGCTGCATTTGTGAGTCATCGCGCGCTCCTGGCGGGGGCGGCCCGAGCCCCGGCACCCCTCGGCCGGGTGTCGCTTCCCGGCTGCGCGCCCTCCGGGGCCGCCGGCTCCCGGGGGACGCGCTGGGGATGGGGCCAGACGCTCGGGTCGCGCGCCGCCCTCCTTCGCGGAGG